TKRWWAAAAAAAGTCCAGGGGCTGTTTTTATTGAATCAACCAACCTTTATTCCAATCCTGCGTTGTSAAAACCTTCCTTCAAGGATTCTTGCTCACTCCTGTCCTTAGATTTGCAGGCTTGACTGACCTATGATTTAAAAAATTGTCATTGAATTAGTCATTGTGTGGATATTAATTCACAGTCGTCATGTTGGCATCCTCGGGAATGAGTGAGGAAGGAACGACAGAAGATTACCCCTGAATTCCCGAGGATGCCATGTTGGATGAATAAATCAAAATACTCCTCGTTACTAGTATCTCCTGTTCACTCATCCAATATGGCTGCCATGACATTTTTCAGCATGGAGTTCTTGGTTATTTCTGCATTGCAACCATTTATTATAAAATGTTGTGGGTTGCTACTTTTCTCGCCTCATCAAAGTACTTATTAGACCTTATTAACGAACGAGCGTGCGTGTGGCGTAGAAGAACCAAAATCCCCGTATCGAGAATACCATAGTCATCCCAAAAGACGACCACAAGTTTATTTTCCAGTTTATATTTTCCTCCTTTCTAGCACTATATCTTTCCTTTATTTCTATTCAATGTATCTCTTACTTAGTGCATGCAGTCCTTACAYATCTTTACTTTCTAAATACCGCACGCTAAGATCTCTATCCCGACCTGGTCCCAGTCTGACCTAATAGTTCAGCTGGTAGAGCATCGGTAGAACAAAACCGAGGGTCTTGGGTTCGAATCCCCGCGAGGAGAAATTGTTATTTTCCAATTTATTTCCAAAGGTCTTTCTCCCGGAAAAACCTCCTTCCTAACACTACAACTTTCCTTTATTTCTATATCATGTATCTCATAGTGGCATGCGGTCCTTACATTCATATTTTCCTGGCTAGACTATTAAGTGATATCGTATTGTATACCTTGTATTTGATGACAACGACCATGGTGAAGACAACGACCATACCAATAGCRATACCAAACCCTTGCATGAAATTCAGGAAATGATTGGGTTTTTCTGTCGGTGATGGTGAGTTTGTATAGACTGGCTTGRTATTAGCATCCGGTGCTGTGTGAGATTATTGATGTTAGTCATGGTCTAACAGCTATTAATAGTTGACAGGATACTCACGCATTTCCTGGAATCGTGGTTTGATTTCGTGCTGGTAGATTCTAAGAACGTCTTTCCCTGTGYTGAGATACGCACCAATTGGTTTTTCAAGTTGTGCCTTTGTAACTTCTGCTTCTTTCTTTGTGTAAATGCTGAAATATTTAAGTGTAGCATTATAAAGTCCTAGTTTTACCGTGGATGCTTTGCGGACGTTTCTTCCTGTTTTGAAAAGAAGTTCTTGTTTCGATTCTGCATGATTTTGGATGGTCTAGCCATACAAGATTTGAAGCTTTTTTGACGGAATTTATGCGCTTAATACTAATTCCTAGCGTCATTGAAAGCCTATAGCAAGTTTGTAAAGTCTATTTTAGTCAAACTCTCGATAGAGAGTACTAGTGGCAAGGAAATGTTAAAATTTTCACAAACATTAATGAAAATCACATAAAATTGATCACTTTTAAATTCCCTCGATGTCTCTCAAAACGCTGGAAATCGCATTTCCAAGAGTTATTATTTCAAAATTTTCTGGGGGAGGTCCAGACTCCCTTAATACTCCCACCTTTGATGGTCGTTAGACCCTCATATCCAAAATATGTGTCGCGGTCCCTGTCATGTGCGTACTAGCCAAAAAGTCCACGCTACGCGCCTGATAAGGAAGTCGTATACGACCCTTGCTATGTTCTGACCAGTCTCTTTAGCATCATATTCATCACTGTTGTTAAGAGTTTGTCATGTAAACGTTTAATACTTACATGAGAATAAAGGTGATTTTATTTTSCTGGAACTCTGACAACTTTGTCTTCACAAATCCTGACACAGACGAGAGCAGTTTATTGAATGTGTCTTCGATCAGTTTGGCCATAAAAGTGAACTCTCTGCTGGTTCGGTCCAATAGATACGGCACCCATTTCATCTTAGTATTGGCAACCAACTCAAAGTCGCGACGCTGGGTTTGTGGGGGCAGCRGTCTTTTAGAAAAGTCTATCTCATCTTTTGAACCACCACCGTTGTYCTGGCCTCCRCCAGATCCTGAGGTGGACTGGGGGACAGTTGACGTTGGAGTTGGAMTTATAGTGAATGACGATTGGTTGATTGACGTCATCATCGACGTGGTTAGTGATTGGCTGAATGAAGATGACGTAGTAGGTGTCATCTGATTGGATGTTGTGTTAGCAATTGAAGAGTTGTTCATCGCCATCGCTTTCAGTGAAGGAAAGAAAGCATGAATTTAACAAWTAGAAAAGGCTTCGTCGTGCTTCGTTCAGTAAAAGCCAAACTGCACGATGTGTGTTGAAAAATACCGTACATACCTATTCCAAAAAAAGGTGTCGGATAAAATGGCGAATGTAAACTGTCGAACGGTGATTGCACGAACGAAAGTTGAAATGGGTTTTGCAAATTGATGAGAAATAACAACTGATTTATGCCGTAAGACATTGGTAATCATTGTTTCCATTTAGTCTCAATTTCTATGCAAAGTGAATTACAAAAGTGAAATTCTGTTCGTCAAAGCAGTGTAAACATAGTCCTTTCCGGTCGTAAAATCTCCTTTCGACAATCGCCGCTCGCCGTTCTCCACGACAACGTTTTTGAAATAGGTGTATATGGTTGAGGGAGGAGGGAGGGAGGAGGGAGGGAGGGAGGAGGAAGGGAGGGGGGATAATGTTTGCTCTTTTCAACACTCGATAACTGATCCGCATCTCCGTATTTCTCAATATGACAAAGTTTACAAAGTATTTTTAATGATTTCAATTACCGCTATATATGGAAACGCAAGGGAAAGCAAGGATGGCTGAGCGATTAAAACACCGGTCTATCACCGCTGTGGTACTGGTTCGATTCCCGGTCCGGGACTATATGTGATTTGAGTTTGTAGGCTGGTTCTCTTCCTTGCTCCGAGGGTTTTTCTCCAGGTCCGCTGGTTTTCCTCCCTCAGTCAAAAACTAGCTGTGAGGAGTGTCGTGTAGTAAAATAATGAATGTTGAGGTAATGAGTATGAGTGAAWATATAGAGGGCCACAAGTTTATTAGTCTAAGGACTATTACGTGCTACCCTCTCAAAATAAAAGACTTTATTTTATTTAAACTCTGCGTAAACGTACGTGAAAGGTCAAATATAATGATTCCATCTCCTCATTGTCGTAATGCACCAGTACGTTCAAGCTGCGCTTACTGTGTGCKCGCCATGTTTTTACAAGCAGAGCAAATTGTTCGTTCAGAACAGTTTCAGATTCACACAGAGTTAGACGACTTTTTAAAAAGTACAAAAAAGCTGTACGAGAGCAAAGTTTTTAAGACCGCGTGGACAGCACGATCACGGCATCTCGCCTGGTAATTAAGACAACATAAAAAGATTATGGTACATTACATTATGGCAATGGCGCTATGACAGTGAGGTAATCTTYTCGTACTCATTACGAGCTCAATTCTAGACTACGTTTGCGCAATAGTCATGTCGCGAAAAAAAAAAAAATAAAAACGTTGCCAGACTTTGCAGGTGTGCCTCTACTTGCGATATCAATTCAGTTTGTTATTTAAGTTGAAATTTCATTATTTAATTCTAGTTCTCTCTGTGTATTTGAAGAGGAAATATTAAAAACTATTCATTTAACGTTTCTTGGACTTTACAAAACAGATTTCACAGATGGAGAATAAAACTGACAAAGGTGAAAGTCATCGGTACTTTTTCAATGAAAAAGTTTTATTCTAATTTATCGTAGTAATTGTTCTTCAAGRTTTATTGGAAACACAAAAAAACTAATGTGAGTCTAGCTTTAAGAGTGAATCGTTAATATTTAATGACGATTTGAGCTAGAATATTCTCTATTTCTGAACATTTTCAGAGGAATTTCTTCATTGTTATCTCTTACTTACATTCCAAGCTATTATCTTAGTTATTTCTTATAAACWAGTTTTTTAAGAAAGAGTTTCTGCTTGAAAAAAATAGATAAAGTTTTGTCGAAAACTCTCAGCTGCTGCGAGARATTGTTTGATATCTTACAGGTTTAATAAGGATATCTCGAACAAAATTGCGTGAATTAGTTTGTGCGGAAAACTGAAAAAATTAAAGATTTTAAGTGAAAGCTCTAAAATGCGTGCAAAATAAAACGACTTTAGCAAAGAAAGGTAAAAACACTAATAATGTCCTAAATAATTCCAAWCGCTTTCCAGGCTTTACTCGTTCACGAGAGAGTAAGAAAATTGACAACTCAAAATGTTAATACTGAACTCTAAAAATAAAAGGTGTTGTAGGTGTAAGACTTGAATTTTAAACAAAACAAATTCAAAACAGTCAAAATTGATATAATTGAACACCTTTTCAACAAAATTTAAAATTATTTTTTCACCAATTTGTTTGTTTCTTTTCGCCATTATATCATAATGACTGTAATCTTTTCTATAATGTCAACGAAATGACCGCGAATATATTCATCGATGTCAATAGTTTTGCCGCTGTGTCTTTAACATATCTTCGTATTGATACAATTTATATTCATAGAAGTATWTTTTCAAAACCTACAATACTACAATACTTACTTTCATTAAAGATTTCAGCGAGAAAAGCGAAAGCAAGAAAGCCAAGAGGATAGCTGCCCTTCATCTTCTTGTGTCAATAGTTTGTGCAACACTTTTGACAATTTTTCTACTGTTTTACAGGTCAAAAACGTTGAGTACGACTGGCTCTGAGACAAACTTCATCTAATGGAATTGACTTWGAACATTGACGTCACGTTGTATAACTAAGCAACGCTTGCGAGTTA